GGGGCTGTTTGCAAAACCCGGCGCAAATTGTTCCATTATTGTAATACGGTCCCGGAGCACGGCGCAGCACACACCACCACCACTTGACTTTCATGCGGCGCGAAGAGTAAAGGCGAGGAGGAGGGCCGGGCGATATCGGACCATAGCGACGGGCCGAAAGGTGGCGGTGGGTTGGGAACGAGGTTGTGCGCGCGGTGCAAAAAGTCTTGTCGTGACCAGCACGGGTTCGTTTAGCTCAGACTACATGCAAGATGTTGAATGCTTCTCCTCGACGGCAGTCAGAGGGATGTTCTGAACCCTTTTGGTATGCACTTTGGTGCAGTGTGACACGACGGGTTTCGCGAGTCGGAAAGGGCTCGTAACGCTGTCGTCGGGGGGAGAGGGGTAGGGGGTGTAAGAGGGGAGAGGAGGGTTCAAACATAAATGAATGCAAACGTATTCGCCGCTGGGCTTGTGTCATTATCTCCCCCCTCCACCCCCGGCCCCCGTCCGTCTGAGGACCATCGCTTCAGTATAAAATGTATTCAGACGGCAGCTGGTGCTTCAGCACTCAGGCCCCGGCAGCAGAGAGGCTAGATGCGACTGTTTTCAGACGGTCGCCACCGACGACGACTTAATTTTGGGACTAATATTTACTGAGAAAAGTGATCAAAAACAAACGGAAATTGGAATAAGTTCTTCCGTCCGTATTAATGAATTACATTTAAAACAGTCAATATGAGAACAAGAAGAATTGCGTTGTTGGCGACCACGATCGCAGGGACCCGCGAGCACACTGACAAGTAAAATGGTTCTTGTTTCTCTTTCACTGAAGGCCGGTCCTGACTCACCTGAGGTGCGCGATCTCCCAGCAGCCCTGCAGCTTGGGTGGCACGCCGCTCGTCAGGCAGAAGCGCAGCTCCTGGACGTGCAGGCGCGCCGGCCCGGGCTGGATCTTGGACTTGGGCGGCGCAGACGAGATTTGGATCAGGAACTGTTGGTCTGCGAAAAGAAACAGAGCGACGCGGCGCTGCGGTTATCTGGCCGGGATTGACAGCTCTCGTCGAGAGGAAAAGAAAAGTACAGAATGGCTGTGTCGTAACGCCGAGCGTGCGGCAAGCGGCGGTCCGACACGAGACCAAAAACAATTTCAAGAAAAAAACACTCACCTTCTCCTAAGTTGTTGGCAATTTTGACTTGCCATTGGATCAGTCTTTCCCTCGTATCGAAGGCCAAGATGACGGTGACGTCTTGACATAAGATAGCTATCGTGTTGGACTCCTTGTCCAGCGTGAAACCTGAAACAGATCAGGCAGACAAGAGGCCGTTAGCGGAGACCGGTCAAAATGTTCCTCGCATATCAATGCGGCGGGAGGTGATACATCTGACAGATCGATCGTGTTGCTGTTAGCTTCATTGTAACTTTTTTTTGATTGAATATCATTTTCCTAGACGACTTCGGTTCCGCGACCCAGCGGCTAGATCAAAGTGACCATCCTCTCATCCCATTACTGATTTTGTCAGCACTGACAGATTTGATATTTTCTTATTCTACGAAGCTATACGGGATGATTGACCAAAGTGACCAGCAATTCCCGCTGTGGAGAACTCCAATCTTTTACTGACAAAAAAAAATCAGCACAGGTCACATGTCCGATGTTAACGGGCATCGGCAGCGGGAACCCATGATATTCGTATACGAGTTCCACGAACACACATGGAGACTGGTCTGCAGTCCGCCACCAGAGCGCGGCCCACGCCGTCAGACAACACGTCACACAAGTGCAGCGTCTGCCCCAAAGTGGGCGGGACGCACCGCATCACGCCAAACAAGAGGGAAAGAAAGCAGCAATACGAAAGCTTGTTTCTGCACACCCCTTTTGCGTTATTTCCTGTTCCTGCCCCACCCCTACCCCATTTCGGAGCAGAGCACTGAGAAGGGTCAGTGACATCCAGACGCACCCCCCCCCCTCCTTTCTCCAACTGGATTGAACTCTTCTGTCGGAATTAAAGAAATACCCGCTTCCTTCTCGCGGCAAAAACAGGAAACACATTGGCAAAAAATTCATAAAAAAAGTTCCGACCAGAAACGGATCGTGAAAGCAGATGATACCTTGTGAAGAATTATTCTATTCCAGTCTATTATATTTCCGTCTTTACACTTGTGGGGAAAGGGAGGGGGGTGGGTGGCGGTGCGGTGCGGGGGCTCCAGCGGTAGAAGGGAGGGGGGCTGCTAGCGCTAGCGCGGCCGACTCGGCTCGGGGCTCGGGCTCCGCTCGGGGCTCGGCTCGCCTCAGCAGCGCTACGACGCGTGGCGTGGCGTGGCTGACGCGACGCGAGCGAGCGAGCGACGTACGCCAGCCGCTTCACGACCCCGCCTAGCAGGCCCAGCCCAATACGTATATGAGCTTTCTTCTGGTTCTCTTTAAGGCGGTAGGAGCGCACGGCCAGTCTGGGAATGGCTGCGTATTAAAATGTTTTGGTAGCGTCCGAACGGTCGGGCAGGCCCTGCGGGGTGCGGGCGGGTGCGGGGGAGGTGGGACTGCACACTCCCGATAGGCGTGACGAATCCAGATGGCGAGGACCCCGGCCGCCGGGGTCTGCCTCGATGCGTCCTGCCTCCCTCGAGCTCCGGGCCAGCTCTGCCTTGGCCTCTCCGGCGACTAAGTCCCGAAAACCACCACTCTAAAATCCTTCAGAATTGTC